CAGTGTGTCATACAGTGAACACCACTTCCAGACCACCATTCAGTCACACATTCATTATTCGACAAATTCTGTGACAAATTCTTTACAGATATGTATGGTTTGAATGAAATGACTACAAGAATCGGTGCATTCATTGCCCCCATTGTCTCATTTGTCTAGTATTTGCAAACAAATACCAATAAATTTAAAATTTCAATAAATCCTTTAAAAGTTATTAATAAATAAAGCAAAAAAGTTGATGACATTTATAATGATATATAGATTTGCATAATAAAAGTTAATAAAACAATTTGAAACTCATGAATGTTAACATTGATATAAATCTCTAGTTTGTACTCAATATATGCATTGATGGCCAGAGAGGAAGTCTGGTCTCATTGGATACTCTCAGCCATAGTTGGAGTTCCAAAGGCCACACTTCGCTGAAGGGTTCATCACTGAGTCCTTTGGACACAAGAATGCTTTGGAGAACTGCTCGGAATTCACTAAAACTTTGTCCAAAATATATATTAAATGATTACAATTGTCACGTTTTATGAGTACAATACCTCCATTGGCCCGATATCTACCGGGGCTGTGGTCATCGAGTAGACTGCGACGATGTCCCTCAAGACTAACCACTTCACACCAAATCTGAGCGTATTGTATAAAAAATAGTTGATCTGAAGTATAGTTTGTGAGTCCCGGCAACTGTACAAACGTATTGTCTTTGTTAAGCTTATAAGCCGTATATGACTGCTGAAGACCTGCAAAATCACAGATATTTTCCTCAAGAGTATGGTTTCCATTGAGCTGTAAGAACACAAATTCAATGTAAGATCATATTCATTATGATAGACGTGATTATCAAATGCTGATTACATATTCATCGGTCGATTCAATTAGATATTGATTATATTGCTGTGCAAAGCAATTAGCCTTTTCTCTGTAGACTTTGTTAATCTCATCCGTCCACCAATTGGTCCCATTTGTGTATTTCATGAACTTTCGTGAGTCAGTGCCCATTGAATGTGAAATCTCGTGTCCGATCACAATACCCAAAGTGGCGAAATCAAGATAACTTTCACAAAATATAATCAAGTCAATATTAAGTTTATTTAAATTTATTTTAAATCAATACCCTGGTCTTTGAAAACTTATCAATGGAAATCGTAGAATTCCTGGCGGCATTACTGAAATATTTGATTAAACTATATTAATATAAATATTTATTGAATGTCTTGAGTATTAAAGTATTGAAATAAGACTCACTTATGTTATTAGTTATGGGATCGTAATATGCGTTTGCAATCAATGGCTGAATAATCCACTCCTCTTCGGGATCTACCAAACGATTTAACTTTTTGAGTTCAAGCATCACCTGATGTCTGGCCATTTTGAATATGTTTGTAATGAATACATCTTGAGAATCAATCTCCAGTCCCTCATACAGTAAATTTACTTCTGACTCGTTAGTTAGAACTTTTGGAACTCCTATTTTGCTTTGAATAGAATTGACTCGATTTTTAAAGTTTTCTTTGATGGCACTCGAGTCCAACCATTGCTGGGAATCTATGATTAAATTAAACGCTTCCTTCATTTGTTTAATCAAATCGTTTATTTTAGCGGTCATTGAGTCCAACGCCTGTTGCTTATGATGGAGATAGAGGACAATAGCCGGCACATCGAGTCCCTCACTGACCACATGAACGCATTCCTTCCAACGCGACAAAAATATTCGCGACGAACCGTTTGGATCGCCCGTCTCTACGGACATATCGGGAACCTTAGCCCTAAACTCGGAAAATAATCGTCTGAATTGAGGTCCTAAATAAGGCAAATATCGGGCAATAAAAGTCCAGCACAAGTAGTTGTCTATTGTTTTTGGCGAGTATGTGTCGATAATTCTGTTGAGTTGAGTTAAATATTCTCTGCTATTAATTAATATTTCATTTGTTTCTACATTCGCTTCATTTAATATAGAATTAAATAATTTTTTCCATTTAATCGATTTGTACAAATCGTCCATTTCTTCAATTGTTATATTAAGAAACATATTATGAGTATTCGATGCATTCAAATGTAAATAATTTTCTTCACTATTTATCATCAATTCTTCTAAATTTTCATTCAGTGTTGTGTTATTAGATTCTGTGATTGTATCCTTAGTTATCTACAATAAAAGTTAAGTGCTTTCAAATAAAATTCTATAATTAAATATCTTAAATGAAACAAAATTTATATAAATTATTAACACTCATATAAATATACTAGCTTATTCTATGAATATTCTATTTTTTATTATTTTATTTTTATAACATTACGTACTAAACTTTAATTGACAAGTATTAAATTTCTAACCAAGTACAGTAACTTATCAAATTGCTTACTAATATGTTGTGAGAGTAAAATGTTAAAAGAATATGTTGTGAAAGTGACTTACTTTAGAGAGATCTGCTTCCAAGTGAACCATTTCAATGACTTCCTTCTTCAGTGATTGTAAGTCTATCTCTGAATCCGGTATTTCTTTAAATTTGTAGAATATTTTGACAATTTCTATCTGTAAGTCAA